TTTAGCATAAAATGGAAAGGGAAAGGAAAGGGAAGCTTACCCAATGATGACTCAAGCTCCAAATGCTTCCAACATGATTTAAAGATTGTGCCCTAGCAGTACATAAGCTCTCTCCGTCGTCTCTGATTTTTCTTTCTTTCTTCCCTTTAGTTTCAGTTTGTTTTCACAAACTGATAAATGCTGATTTTTGCACACCCACCGCGGCTTATAGCACAAAGCGTTCCTTATCAATTTAAACCTACCTTCATGCCATAGCCTACTCAAACCTATCCTTCTTCTAAGGCTGTCTAAAGATTCAAAAATTATATTAGCCTCCCATAAACATCATTAATTAATAATTTATCTAAATTGATTAAAATATCCTTGGAAACACTAAAAATTCATAATTTAAAAACTTAGGATGTTACATCTTGGATATAGTGGGTACCCAAAGTTTAGTGATTTAAACGGGTTGTTTAAGTGAGAATTGATGTTAAATGTTTAATCTTATAGATTAAATATTGATCAAATATTGATACACTAATGGATATATGTAGGGCTATTGCTTGACCGTGGTAACCTTTTTAGTGATAAAAAGATTGAGATAACTAAATTATCTAAGGTTGTTACTTGCATGTCTGGACAGTTGTGTGTTGTTGTAAAAGTTCATTCATCTATTACTTTGAACTAGTATATTCTTAGTAAATGATTAATGGATAATTATGTTTTGCATAATTATGGTTTTTAAAAGTTTTATGCTAAATCCTATGTTCATGTATATGTACTTGTGAAATTATATGATTGGTAGTGAAAATGACTATTTAAGTGTAAATTATAAATTTATGGCTATATGTGAAATGATTAAGAATATGTTTGGCATGATCATTATAAGAGGGTAGGAGTTCACTTTAGTGTTGTTAAGGGATATTGTTTAAAACTCCATATAGTACACTGGCATCATGGAGGGCCCTGTGCACAGTTTTATATTTGTTTAGAAGTTATAATACTATTTGAAATAGATTAGGCATACGTCACCTAGGGTATTCCTAGGAAGGGGGAATTTATGGTCTGTAGTGGGTGAAGACGTCCTTAACTAGAACTGCTTCCTATGATTGGTGAGCTTCAGCTAATCTACTCACATGGATTAAGTTCTATTAAATTATCAGCCCATAGATTTAGTCAAAAGAAATAAGAAGGATATAAAATGGTATGTTGATCATGCATCTCTCTATTGTAAATCCATGTGTGTGTTGTGTTATTTTCATATATGGAATATATGTTTTAAATACCATTTCACAGACTCACTAACTATTCTTATACACGAGTAGCTTGTTTAGATTATTTAGTTACTGAGTTCTCGACTCATCTTGTGGTTACATTTTACAAGTAAAGGTTTCGATAGAGGCAAAGGAAACGAAGGTTCTTTGGAGAATTAAGGGACTTGAGTTTGTATAGTCCTCTCACTCTATTTTGGATTGAAATGAATGATTTATCTTTATACCAACTTAGGATCATCTATTGTTTTGAGGTCATTTGCATGAGAATTGTTATGTAAAACTAGGTATCTTGGCTCGAGATATTGTAACTGTGATGTATTAGTTATGGGAGGTTGAGATAAAAGTGCAAGTGATATTTTTGTATTGATTGTGCTTTGGAATGGCCATAGGGATGTTTATTGAGAATTGTTGTTATCCCTTGAATTTATGTTAGATTTAAGGTTTTGATAGCCAATTCTTGCATGGAATGTTGTTGTTGTTGATTACCTGTGTAATCAAGTTATTTGTAGTCCATTTGAGTTAGTTCAAGTGGTTCAAGGTTATTGACACTAGTTTTAGGGGTTTAGACACCCTTATAGTTGTTTTGAAAGGCAAATAGACCATTTTATGTCTAGGTGTGAGACCAGTTTGTTTGTAGTGTTATTTGATTCCTATGCTTTCACTATATTATTTAATTGTTTTTAACTATTGCTTGAGCTCAAATGTTTTTTTAAAAAGGTTTCTTAGGATCCTAATTTCTTAAACTATTTTCTATAATAGCCTTATATAAGGAATTTTATTAATCTTGGTTATTATAATGGTGTCTTATGTCTTGTGTCCTGTATGTTTGGTAATGTTAAAGAAGACAGTACACTGTCAACAGTAAGTGGGCTAATCACACAAAAGTCTTCCATACTCGATCCATGGGTGGATTAGTACTACCTTAACCTCTGGTTTACTACTTAAACCCTAAGATGGTCTAGGTTACTTTGGGCTTCCTCTTGCATAGGCCTATCTTGGTACACAACTCTCTCTTCTTGTACTTTGTCCCTTAATATTGCATCATGGTCCAGGATAGTCTGCCTTATATCAACCATCATATTCTAAAATTCCTCTAGCAATTCATCACGCCTATCTCTCGATGGTGACTCTACTTATTGAACTTCTAGCATTTTCTCTTTCTCATTCACCAATACATGTCTAGCTTGAGTACCTCTCCTCATTATTTATTTCTTGCCTCTTAAGGATGAAAATTAGAAAATAAAGTGAGCGAAAAGGAAAGAGTTATGTAATGAATGAATATAAGTTGCCATATCTAAAGATGAATGAAGCAAAGAATCAAAATTACCAAATCTTGAAACTTGAAAAACTAATATCGGTAACCTCTCCCACTATCCACTTGATATTAAGAAAGGTTAACACAATCACCACAACACCACAACTGATTAATAAGAGTATGTATGTTTTAAAAGGTTTAGGATCTCAAGGCTCATTTAAAACCATTCAAAATCATTCTCATATAAGCAATGCACAATGGAAGCTTTTTTTTGCATTCATAACCTTCAATGCATGAATTAAAATCAAACAAGTAACTTTAATGAAGGGACCATACACCATGGTATGTGGTATAGAGCCACAAGCTCCCATTCTATGTCATGTGTCACGGCATATGCTGCCATGCACTGTAAAGCACATGACATATTTTTACTAATGGAGCACCTTTTTAATGGGCAACATTGCTACCATTAAGTTGATCAACTCAATGGTACTAATGTTACCCGCTTCTTTGCTTAGTAGGAGAGGTTATAGGATTGAGTCTCAAGGGTACACTTTACACCAAATCCATAAGAATTCAATCATTAAGAAGGCTTTAGGATGGTTGTACTACCAGTGTACCTTGTCCTAAGTAAATTAGGCTTAAGATAGTCCCACTCTTCACCCCACCAGGGAAACTTAGGGTGTAAACTCTAAGAAGAGGGAGGGCGAACATTGGACCTCCTTTCTCTTTGTACCATGATGCCTCACATTTTGAATACTTCTCCTCCTCTTCAAGCCCTTTTTTGTATAGACCATAATCATTAAGACATGCATGTATCTTTTTATATTTCATACCCATTGGGCATAAATATTCTTGGCATCATAGTAAGATTTGGTAGTACATCACCTTTTGGAAACATTAGTTGGAGAAGTTCTAGCAATCATGTAAAACTCTTATCACTCCACCTAACTCTTTCCTTTAAGAAAACCAGTTTTAACACCCTAGATAATATACTGAAATCGGTGCACTTTAGGTATAAAGGCTTCTTTGTGTTAGTGTACAAGTTTTCATAAACATGTGCTCGCTCAAAGGTTTCTTCCCCAACATCACTAATCATGTCTTCTAACCAATCTTCATCTATATCTACTTCATTATCAGTGTTATCAACTGTCATACATTAAGACATACTGCTAGGATTCAATCGTTCACTATGCTAAATTCATACCATATAATTCTAGCAAATCGCATCGCAAATCAAATGTTCTCTTATTTCGGCAACACTTAGTCTCCTCTCATTCAAACAATTAATGCAAGGACAATAAAACCTACCATTAGTATCAACAGTATTTTTCTTAGCAAATTTCAAAAACTCTTTAACCACATTATCATATTCAACACTTGTTCACCTGGCATTCATCCAACTATGTTTCCCTACTAAATTATATTGTTAAAATTCAATTTTGCACTAGTGATTATTGAAGTGATTTATCATCAATTTATATATTAGTATTAAAACACATTGAGAGAAATGTGTTTTTTAATTATATCTCTCCTCATTAACCTTTGAGGGAGAGTCTCAATTGATCAGTTTTTTTATCAAGGCCACTAATGCATTTACTAATCAAATTAAAAAAAGTCAGCACCTATCACTTGTTAAGGTTTTTCTATTTTTCAATTTTAATATATTAAGTCAGCACTTATCACTTGTTAAAGTTAAATCCTAATAGCAGGTGATCACTTGTATAAATTAAATTGAAAAATGTTGGGGATGACATTGCATCAAAAAAATTGAAGGATATTAGGTGTGTCTACATGAAATTTTGAGGGTATATTTATACCTTAGCTTAAAATAAAATTTGGCCTAAAAAGAGTTATTTCATACTTTTTTAAAAATAATATGACACACTAACAATAAAAAAATATTACACACGAAGAAAGGAATAAAAAAAGGTAAAAGAGTAAATTGGCCCCGTAAAGTATAGGTTTAAAAATGGCTCAGACCCTAAATTTATTTTTGGTGTAATATTTTCCTTTAACTTTTAAAAATGATGTAATTTAGTCCCTACCATTACAAATATTAACTTTGACTATTAGTTAATAAGAAAATAACAAAAAAAATGACCTTAAAAGTTATAGAAAATGACTAATAAAAATTTCTTGGTCTTTTTGGGTCCTTATATGTAATTTTTAGATTATTTATTGTAATTTTCTATCCTTTTTATAATTTTTGAGATCTTTTTTTTTGTCATTTTCCATTCAATTAATGACTAAAGTTAATTTTTATTAATAGTAAGTGTTAGACTACTTTCAAAAGTTGATGAAGAATAATACATCAAAAATAAGTTTAGGGCCTTAAATGTTGTTGGACTAATAGTTTCAGAGCCAATTTATTTTTTTTACATAAAAAACTAGGAAAACCTAAGGTAATGTTTGGGATTTTTTTTTTTTTTTTGTGGAAGTAGAATAGAACGGAATGGGATGGCTAGAAGCCATGAAAGTAAACCTACGACAATAAAGCAATAAAAGTGTATAATTCAAAGCACAGCCTGTATCATAAAAGCTCCAGGAAAACCAACATACAACTCTTGGCCAATGCTTCGGCCACTCGGCTAGGTCTCTCTCAAGTCGCAAGCAACCGGCAACTTTGTTCCCTAACCTATTGATTAGGGAGATGGTAATGTTGGAGCGACCTTTGCTTTCACATTTACATATGCAAATCAAACATCACAAATCCCAGGCTTCAACACACATAAATAAAGCTATCCACAACTCCAATTCAAAAGACCAAGGAAGTTATTCAAGACAGCTTAAGTCTTCAAATATGCAAATATAAAGTACGGTGAATCTTGGTGATCATGCTTTTCTAGTCACAGACAAGGTGACGTTGATGAATTCAGTCTTCTCTTTGGACATACGGTCTGTTAAGATCTCTTGGTACCTCTTGAAAACTTCTTCGATGATACCCTCTCCGAAGTGGCTGATCAGTAAAGGTTCGGCCACAGCTCTCATGCACTTTGTGACATTATATCCACCGTCACTCTCTACTTCAGACTTACTAAATTCACTGTCTACTGCGTTCCAGTCATCGTACGCATTCCAATTCACTGATGATACCTCCATGCGATTGATGTTGAATGACCCTTCTTTCTCTATCTCTTGTTCCACTTCAGATGGGGATGGTGTGTATTGGGGTATATTGAACGAGTCCACTTCCTCTTCTTTCAGCATTCCCTGTAAGTCATAGGAAAACAAATTAGTATTACGGGTATTTTTTGCTTGAAAATCAGTATTTCAAATCAACAACGGTTAGTTTCATTTTTGAATGGATAGAGACGGAGAATGGCTCATTCATATTAGCCATAATAAGCTTTCTAAAAGGATGGAAAGGGGACCAATAATTCATTAATGTGTTTAGTAAAACGACAGCAATGGGACCAATGGCTCACATCTCATCTATTATGAAAAGGACGACGGTGGAAGCTATTAAAATTAGAAAAATATAATGGGTACCACGGAGGCCATATCATTGAGAGCTTTAGCCATAAGTTCCCAAACAAGGCAGCATTCTTTGCTAGAGGGATCATCGCTTTTTCTTCCTAAAAATGTGAGCACCATGTAACCCCCTTCCACCACTTCCTTTGCGCGACACTCGAGAAACAATGAAAAGTCTTTTTGAAATTGCTGGTAATAAGCCTTCAACACATTTGAAGGGCTTGTGCTTGCCATGTAGATGTTGCCCTTATTGTTCTCCACGCCCTCGGGAACCTTATGCATTAACCAATCATCATCAATCAAACATTTCACTCTATATAATATTGTTTGCAATTTATGAGAGAAGGAAAAAAGATATCAACAATCTCAATTCAATCCAGAGAATATATAACACCTGAGATAGCCATTGAAGGCTATAAGAGGAATGGACAAAATGGAGACTTTTTGAAGGAAAAACCCTGCCATAGAAGGAACCAGGGACCCCGACTAAGAAGCAATGACCAACCCCAGAAACCATTTCATCACTGAGTTTTTCGTTGAAGCTTCCAAGAGACCTGAAGATGTTGTTGAAGTCATTTCCTGGAAGATCGTTCAAGAAGACTTGGTATTCTGGAGACTGATGGTTAAGCTCTCGGCAAAGCTTCTCCACTATTTTGATAACTTCAAAAACCACAAAGAAAGTGTTTGGACCAGAAGAGCAACCCAGGTCTGCAATCGCTAGTCTTTCAGGGAGCCTTCTGCGGCACAAGTTGGTTATGGCTTCCTCTCGAATCGGCTTTGTCAGTGTCAGCACCTTTTGCTGTTTCCCATCACCAAAATAGAGTTACTAAGTTGCATTCTGTGTTACTGATCAATTAGTTTACTGATCATATAGTTTCAATTCTCCGAAATATTGGTGCAGCAAGGAAGATGCAATCCATTAAAAGTGGTACTTAATGAATGATACCTGAACTAAGGAATTGTTTGCATAGCTTGCTTCTCCCATGCCCCCATTCATGTGCAGCACTTGAGTTACCTCCATATTCTTGGCGTCTTCTCTCTCTGTGATTGTTTTTTTTTTTTTAATGATTTCTTAAGTATCCCCTGCTGTGTGTGTTTTTGTGTGTTATGAGTAATCTATTTATAGATGCTGCGGCTCTTTCGTACGTGGGAGAAAACATGATTTCCAAGTTAGACGCGGGCCCCACATTTTACTCAGTATTAACCACTTATAAACAGTATCATTGGTTGTCTTGTAAATTAACTTTGTGTGTGTCTGTGTGTGTGTGTGAGTGACTCTGTCACTGATATTAGATAAGCAGCGTTGAGCTCATCAAGAGTCGGATTCCGTAACGTTGGCCATGTTGTGACTTTTGTGCATGCTCCCAGCGCTTTTTTTTTTTTTTAAATTAAATTTAATCAAATTATTTTCTTCAACAAACCTCATGTTGTCGCTTTGCTCCATTGAACTACGATCGAGGTCCTACGGACATTACATTTAATATATCACGCTTGTATAGGTCATGCGATGCGTACATGCGAGCGTCGTGTATTACCTTTTACGTGATCCTCATCAGGTGATAATGACATGATTGATTAGAAAATTAATTGGGAAAATCACAGTAAAGGAGCTTTAGAGCATTTTATTTACAGAAAATGACTAAATGATTTATAGTTTACTCAACAAGATCAAGCGATTAAAATGTAATTAAATTTTAATATGAAAAATCAAAGATACTCTTCATTTTAAAAAAATTCCCTCGCTATCACCAGGCGTCGAAGCTTTGGCACGGATGGTCAGACTGCTCGCCAAAGCTGGTGGCCAGACCCAACGAGAAGGACAAAATAAATATTTTTGTTTTAAGCTCACCAAGAGAAAGTTTGAACTCACATCCCTTTAGCCACCAAAAAAATAGCTAGCTAGCAATTAAATTAGCAATTCTTTTCAATTATATAATAAAATCTTTATATATATATATATATATATGTTTTTCTTTATTCTTACTTTTCATGTCAATACTTATCAAGAGCTTAATAGTTATTTATCATTTCACAAATAGCTACTTGTTAAATTATCAATGAAACTTGTTAAAAACTTTAATATGTATTGGTTTTTATAAATGTTTACTTATTTTTATTATCAAGAATGACAAGTCCCCATTAGTAATTTAACAAGCAATTATTTATGAAATAACAAGTCTCGTTACTAGTTTTAATTTTTTTTAATAATTTAACAAGTAACTATTTGTGAAATGATAAGTCCTGTTAATTACTAGCTTTGAAAATTTCTCTTAATAATTTGACAAGTAAATGTTGGCAAAACGACAAATTTATATAAGCTTTTAACATGTAAAATGTTAGTAATAAAAACAAATAAATATTTATAAAAATAATTTTATATTAAGTTTCTTTAACAAGTTCCCATTAATAATTTAACAAGTAACCATTTGTGAAATAACAAGTCTTGTTACTAGCTTCAAAAATTTCTCTTGATAATTTGGAAAGTAAATTTTAGCAAAATAACAAATTCATATAAACTTTTGACATGTAAAATTTTACTGATAAAAATATGCAAACATTTATAAAAATTATTTCATATTAAATTTCTTTAACAAATCCCCATTAATAATTTAACAAGTAACCCTTTGTGAAATAAAAAATCTCCTTACTAACTTTAAAAATTTTTCTTGATAATTTAACAAACAAGTCCCCATTGATAATTTAACAAGTAACTATTTGTAAAATAATAAGTCCCATTATTGACTATGAAAATTTTTCTTGATAATTTGAAAAATAAATTTTAGTAAAATAATGAGTTCATATAAACTTTTTGTATAAAAACAAGTAAAAATTTATAAAAACCACTCTATATTAAAATTTTTTTAATAAGTCCCATTAGTAATTTAACAAGTAGCCATTTGTGAAACAACAAGTTCCGTTACTAACTTTGAAAATTTCTCTTAATAATTTAACAAGTAAATTTTAGTAAAATAAAAAGTTTATATTAGCTTTTGATATGTAAGTTTTTGGTAATAAAAATAAATAAAAATTTATAAAAATTAGTGCATATTAAATTTTTTAACAAGTCACATTAGTAATTTAACAAGTAATCATTAAGCTCCTGACAAGTATTGGCAAGGAAAGTGAGAACAAAGTAAAATATATATAAAGAATTGTATTATATAATTGAAAGGCATTGCTAGCATAGTAGCTAATTATACTTTTAGTGGCCAAGGGGATGTGGATTCAAACCCTCCTTGGCAACATTTAAAAAAATTAATTTATCTCCCTTACACGTTTAGTTAATGGTGTCAAAGCTTTGACAGGCAGTTTGATGCCGGAGCTCTAGCATCTAGTCTGGTGAGGTGGTCCAATCATCTAAGCGGAAACTCCAACAATTGGTGATGGCGGGGGGATTTAAAAAAAAAAGAAATGAAGGATAATTTTATCTTTTCAAATTAAAATTTAATTATATTTTGATCCCTTGGTCCTGCAAAGTAATTTCAAAATTATTTAATCATTTTTTTAAATAAAATACTCTAGAAGTCCTTCACTTTGATTTTCCCAAATTAATTTGCAGGACGTACAAGCCAAACAAGCACTCTTTTCAGTCCCTTTGGTAGGATGTTTTGGAATTTTTCACACAAATTAAAATAAGTTAATGTTTTTAGATGGTTTCAAACATTTAATATTTCAATTCTATTCCTATTAATTTAAGGGAACCTCATCATCATGCCTTATTTATTGTTCAGTTAAAGTTATTAAAATTATATATAAGAGTAATAATTTGATATTCTAATTAAGTACCTTATGAAAGTTGGAGAAAAGTTTATTTTTAAACGGCACTTATATAAATGCTTGAAACTATCCCAATTGAGCCCATTTGTTTTAAAAATAAAAAATAATAAATATCAAGATATGTTTTTTTAAAAAAAAAAAAAGCGATGCACTTGGAACATGCATAATATAGGTAGGAGAATGATGGTTAAGACCCTCGTAAATAAATTTATTGCAATAAAGAACCATTAATTTTGTATTAGCTATTATCTTGTAAAAACACGTATATGTTATTGTGAAAAGCTGAACCTTAACTTATATTTTCTGTTACTGTTATTTAAAAATTTAACAAGTTAAAGTTTTTCTTTTAACAATAATATATACGTGTTTTCACAAGATAATATCGTATGCAAAACTGATAGACCCTTAGTATAATAAATTCTTTCAAGAGAGTCTTAAATGTCATTCTCCCTATAATTTTATATTACAACAATCACTTTTTGTTGCATACACCCCCAGTAACTAAAAATTACAATCTTTCAAAAGAATTCTTTTGCCAATCTATTTATAAGAGCTTTGTTGGCCAAGATATTTTTCAATTTCTTTCTCTTTTTACTTTGATTACTATTGCTACTTCTTCTTCACCAGTTGTTTTTATTTCTCCTAACATGAACTTACTAGATGTCTTTTTCTAGCTTTTTAATATATGATTGATCTTTTACCAAAAAAATATAGTTAATGTGCAAATCTGTACCCAAAGTATTTTGCAAGGTGCAATTGGTATTCCTAATTTTTTGAAGGTGCAATGTGTCCCCTTAATGTTTTGGAAAACACAGCAATGTTGCCCAATCTTAATAAATCCAAATGTTTGGCCCTTAATTGACCCTCTATGCTAAGGTGGTATGTCCATGTAGCGTCCTTCACTTTCTTCCTTGATTTTTCGTGTCACATGAGAGAGAGATATTGAAGAATCATTCAGACGCTAACTAACTTCTCTTAGTGCTATCTTCTTCATTTTCTCTTCCAATTTTAATAGATCTAAACCCTTGCAACAAATTCAAACATGAGTTCTTGATTTCCAAAGTTCAACATAGGAGCTAGCATAAAAAAAGCATAGAATCTGAACAATAAGTCTTGAGAACCTTCATCAAAAACCTAAAGAAATTTGGGCATGGAGTTAGGGATTTGAAGTCCTTGATGTTGAAAGGTGGAAGCTTTACTGGTTGAATAGAAGGAGAATTTCTCCAATAAGGAAGCATTATGGGTTGACTCATGAACATAGTTCACTACTAGTTCTACCACGATAGTGTCATCTTTGGCACCATTGACCTCATCTTCGATGATGCCAACAAGGTCTTCTAGAATTACACGGTAGTCATCAAGTCACAACTGGAATAGCATTGTCTCCTCCTATGGCCGTAGCACGATCAACAAGTGCCAAAGTTTCAGATTTATCATTTTATTATCGACCCACTCTACCCACATCATTGATTATAGTGAAGCAAATGAGTATCATTGCATGTCACTTGTAACATCCTAAGTTTTCTAATCCAAAACCTATTAGTTAATTAAAGAAAAATTAGTAAGTTAATCATATTTTTAGAGGTGTTAATTGATATTATGGGTCATTAGATAACTTCAAGGTTGAACGAGGATGGAAGTTAGATTGAATCGGGTTCAAATGGCATGAGGAAAAGTGAGAGTTGCTCACTGTGCCACATACCACAATAAGTACACCACATGCTGTGGCATATGGCACAATTTTAGCATTAAGAATTGTGTAATTTCAATTTGAGAAATCATAAGAAAGGTGGGGTTTTAGGGAGCTTGAGGGAGAAAGGGAATCCTATACTAAGGCTTCAAATTAGGTGATCTTGGAATTTAGTTTGGACCTTTAAACTCTTGGGTAGGCTTCTTATTGCTCTCTTCTACCTTCCATCTTGTATTCATAAGATCTGGAGTATCTAGAGTTGTTACTGACTCAAAGAAGCTAGGGGTCCATGTTTAAAGGCTTGCTTGTGACTCTTAGAATTTGATTTGAGTTTCTTTGTCTTTGGGAAAATGATCTTATGAAGCTTAATAATTGGGCATTGTAATTTGAAAAAACCCTAACTTGATTTTGGGAATTTGAAGTTATAAGAGTGGATTAAGTGAGTAACTTAGTTTATAAGTGCTAAGTGAGGATAATAAGTGGGCTGTAGCTTCGAATAGCTCAACGATAGATGATATGGGTTGTTGATAGCTAAATATAGTTAAATTTAGCTAAAGAAGTTGTAGGAGCTTACATTAGCCACATGTAACTCTTTTTGTGTCAAAAAAGTTAAGGT